GCTTCCAAATCCTGCTTTTTTATGTCTTGGTGATGATAAAAATTGTTGTGAATGATTGTTAAGTATAAAACCCGTAGAATCTTTGAATAAAATAATGTCACTTGGCGGGGCGTAGCTCAATTGGTAGAGCGCTCGCTTTGCATGTCAGAGGTACTGGGATCGATACCCGGCGCTTCCAAATCCCATTTTTTATGTCTTGGTGATGATAAAAATTGTTGTAAATAATTGTTAAGTTTAAAACCCGTAAAATCTTTGAATAAAATAATGTTACTTCCAGGGAGCGTAGCTCAATTGGTAGAGCGCTTGCTTTACACGTGAAAAATACCGATCGATACCCGGTGTTTCCGAATCTTACTATTTTATGTTTTGGTGGCGATAAATATTGATGTATGTGGTAGTTGAGTAGAAAACCCGTATAAACTTTGAAAAAAAATTTTGTTACTTGCCAGGGGCGTAGCTCAAGTGGTGAAACGCTCGCTTAGCATGTGAGAGATACCGGATCGATATCCGGGCGCCTTCAAATCTTACTATTTTTTGTCTTGGTGGCGATAAAAATTATTGTGAGTGGTTGTTGAGTATAAAACACGTGAAACCTTTGCCTTAGCATGTGAGAGGTACCAGGATTATGCCTCGGCTCTTCCAAATCTTACTTTTTTAAGTCTTGGTGATGATAAAAATTATTGTATCTCTTTCTTTCTCTTTGTTAAGTATAAAACCCGTAGAATCTTTGAATAAAATAATGTCACTTTCCGGGGGCGTAGCTCAATTGGTAGACCGCTCGCTTTGCATGTGAGAAGTACGGTACCGGGATCGATACCCGGTGCTTCCAAATCTTACTATTTTATATCCTGGTAACTTCCAAATCTTACTTTTTATGTCTTTGTGATGATAATGTGAGTGATTGTTAAGTGTAAAACCCGTAGAATTTTTGAATAAAATAATGTCACTTGCCGGGGGCGTAGCTCAATTAGCAGAGCGCACGCTTTGCATGTGAGAGGTACCGGGGTCGATACCCGGCGCTTCCAAATCCTACTTTTTTATGTCTTGCTGATGATAAAAATTGTTACAATCTTACTATTGTATGTTTTGGTGGCGATGAATATTGATGTGAGTGGTTGTTGAGTACAAAACCCGTGAAACTTTTGAAAAAAATGGCGTTACTTGCCGGGGGCGTAGCGCAAGTGGTTAAGCGCTCGCTTAGCATGTCAGAGATACCGGGATCGATATCCGGCGCTTTCAAATCTTACTATTTTATGTTTTGGTAGCGATAAAAATTGATGTAAGTGGTTGTTGCTTAGCATTTGAGAAGCACCGGGATCGATACCCGACGCTTCCAAATCCTACTTTTTTATGTCTTGGTGATGATAAAAATTGTTGTGAATGATTGTTAAGTATAAAACCCGTAGAATCTTTGAATAAAATGTTGTCACTTGCCGGGGGCGTAGCTCAATTGGTAGAGCGCTCGCTTTGCATGTGAGGTACCGGGATCGATACCCGGCGCTTCCAAATCTTACTATTTTATATCTTGGTAACTTCCAAATCTTACTTTTTTATGTCTTTGTGATGAAAATGTGATTGTTAAGTATAAAACCCGTAGAATTTTTGAATAAAATGATATCACTTGCCGGGGGCGTAGCTCAGTTGGTAGAGCGCTCGCTTTGCATGTGAGAGGTACCGGGATCGATACCCGACGCTTCCAAATCCTACTTTTTTATGTCTTGCTGATGATAAAAATTGTTGTGAATGATTGTTAAGTATAAAACCCGTAGAGAATTTGTATAAAATAATGTCACTTGGCGGGGGCGTAGCTCAATTGGTAAAGCGCTCGCTTAGCATGTGAGAGATACCGGAATCGATATCCGGCGCTTTCAAATCTTACTATTTTATGTTTTCCTAGCGATAGAAATTGATGTGAGTGGTTGTTGCTTAGCATGTGAGAAGTACCGGGATCCATACCCGGCGCGCTTCCAAACCTACTTTTTCATGTCTTGGTGATGATAAAAATTATTGTGATTGTTAAGTATAAAACCCGTAGAATATTTGAATAAAATATGGTCACTTGACGGGGGCGTAGCTCAATTGGTAGAGCGCTTGCTTTGCATGTGAGAGGTACCGGGATCGATACCCGTCGCTTCAAAATCTTCCTATATTATGTTTTGGTAGCGATAAAAATTGATGTGAGTGGTTATTGCTTAGCATGTGAGAAGTACCGAGATCGATACCCGGCGCTTCCAAATCCTACTTTTTTATGTCTTGGTGATGATAAAAATTGTTGTGAATGATTGTTAAGTATAAAATCCGTAGAAACGTTGAATAAATTAATGTCACTTGGCGGGGGCGTAGCTCAATTGGTAGAGCGCTCGCTTTGCATGTGAGAGGTACCGGGATCGATACCCGGCGTTTCCAAATCTTACTACTTTATGTTTTGGTGGCGATAAATATGGATGTGAGTGGTTCTTGAGTACAAAACCCGTGAAACCTTCGAAAAAAGTGTCGTTACTCGCCAGGGGCGTAGCTCAAGTGGTTAAACGCTCGCTTAGCATGTGAGAGATACCGGGATCGATATCCGGCGCTTTCAAATCTTACTATTTTTTGTCTTGGTGGCGATAAAAATTATTGTGAGTGGTTGTTGAGTATAAAACACGTGAAACCTTTGCTTAGCATGTGAGAAGTACCAGGATCGATGCCCGGAGCCCGGAGCTTCCAAGTCTTACTTTTTTAAGTCTTGGTGATCATAAAAATTATTGTGAGTATCTCTTTCTTTCTCTTTGTTAAGTATAAAACCCGTACAATCTTTGAATAAAATAATATCACTTGCCGGAGGCGTAGCTCAATTAGTAGAGCGCTCGCTTTGCATGTGAGAGTTACCGGGATCGATACCCGGCGCTTTCAAATCTTACTATTTTATTTTCTAGCGATAGAATTGATGTGAGTGGTGGTGTTGCTTAGCATGTGAGAAGTACCGGGGTCGATATCCGGCGCTTCAAATCCTACTTTTTTATGTCTTGTGATGATAAAATTATTGTGTGATTGTTAATATAAAACCCGTAGAAATTTGAATAAAATGGGGTCACTTGACGGGGGCGTAGCTCAATTGGTAGAGCGCTGCTCTTTGCATGTGAGAGGTACCGGGATCGATACCCGGCGTTTCCAAATCTTACTACTTTATGTTTTGGTGGCGATAAATATTGATGTGAGTGGTTGTTGAGTATAAAACACGTGAAACCTTTGCTTAGCATGTGAGAGGTACCAGGATTGATGCCCGGCTCTTCCAAATCTTACTTTTTTAAGTCTTGGTGATGATAAAAATTATTGTCTCTTTCTTTCTCTTTGTTAAGTATAAAACCCGTAGAATCTTTGAATAAAATAATGTCTCTTTCCGGGGGCGTAGCTCAATTGGTAGAGCGCTCGCTTTGCATGTGAGAAGTACCGAGATCGATACCCGGTGCTTCCAAATCTTACTATTTTATATCTTGGTAACTTCCAAATCTTACTTTTTATGTCTTTGTGATGATAATGTGAATGATTGTTAAGTGTAAAACCCGTAGAATTTTTGAATAAAATAATGTCACTTGCCGGGGGCGTAGCTCAATTAGTAGAGCGCTCGCTTTGCATGTGAGAGGTACCGGGATCGATACCCGGCGCTTCCAAATCCTACTTTTTTATGTCTTGCTGATGATAAAAATTGTTGTGAATGATTGTTAAGTGTAAAACCCGTAGAAACTTTGTATAAAATAATGTCACTTTCAGGGGGCATAGCTCAATTGGTAGAGCGCTCGCTTTGCATGTGAGAGGTACCGGGAGAGGATTTTATGTTTTCGTGGCGATAAATATTGATGTGTGTGGTTGTTGAGTACAAAACCCGTGAAACCTTTTCAGTGGTTCAGCGCTCGCTTAGCATGTGAGAGATACCGGGATCGATATCCGGCGCTTTCAAGTCTTACTATTTTATGTTTTCCTAGCGATTGATGTGAGTGGTTGTTGCTTAGCATGTGAGAAGTACCGGGATCGATACCCGGCGCTTCGAAATCCTACTTTTTCATGTCTTGGTGATGATAAAAATTATTGTGATTGTTAAGTATAAAACCCGTAGAATATTTGAATAAAAGAGGGTCACTCGACGGGGGCGTAGCTCAATTGGTAGAGCGCTCGCTTTGCATGTGAGTAAGTAAGTTTTGGTAGCAATAAGAATTGATGTGAGTGGTTATTGCTTAGCATGTGAGAAGTACCGGGATCGATACCCGGCGCTTCCAAATCCTACTTTTTTATGTCTTGGTGATGATAAAAATTGTTGTGAACGATTGTTAAGTATAAAACCCGTAGAAACGTTGAATACATTAATGTCACTTGGCGTGGGCGTAGCTCAATTTGCTCGCTTTGCATGTGAGAGGTACCGGGATCGATACCTGGCGCTTCCAAATCTTGCTGTTTTATATCTTGGTAACTTCCAAATCTTACTTTTTATGTCTTCGTGATGATAATGTGAGTGATTGTTAAGTATAAAACCCGTAGAATCTTTGAATAAAATAGTGTTACTTGCTGGGGGACGTAGCTCAATTGGTAGAGCGCTTGCTTTGCATGTCTTGCAATGGCGCTTGCAAATCTTACTATTTTATCTTGGTAACTTCCAAATCTTACTTTTTTCATGTCTTCGTGATGATAATGTGATTGTTAAGAATAAAACCCGTAGAATCTTTGATATAAAATGATGTCACTTGCGGGGCGTATCTCTATTGGTAGAGCGCTCGCTTTGCATGTGAGAGGTACCGGAATCGATACCCGGCGCTTCCGAATGTTAATATTTTTTGTCTTGGTGGCGATAAAAATTATTGTGAGTGGAATATAAAACACGTAAACCTTTGCTTAGCATGTGAGAGGTACCAGGATCGATGCCCGGCACTTCCAAATCTTACTTTTTTATGTCTTGGTGATGATAAAAATTATTGTGATTGTTAAGTATAAAACCCGTAGAATCTTTGAACAAAATAATGACATTTGCCGGGGGCGTAGCTCAATTGGTAGAGCTCTCGCTTTGCATGTGAGAGGTACCAGGATCGATGCCCGGCGCTTCCAAATCCTGTTTTTTATGTCTTGTTGATGCTAAAAATTGTTGTGAATGATTGTTAAGTATAAAACCCGTAGAATCTTTGAATAAAATAATGTCACTTCCAGGAGGCGTAGCTCAATTGGTAGAGCGCTCGCTTTGCATGTGAGAGGTACCGGGATCGATACCCGACGTTTCCAAATCTTACTATTGTATGTTTTGGTGGCGATGAATATTGATGTGAGTGGTTGTTGAGTACAAAACCCGTGAAACCTTTGAAAAAAATGGCGTTACTTGCCGGGGGCGTAGCGCAAGTGGTTAAGCGCTCGCTTAGCATGTCAGAGATACCGGGATCGATATCCGGCGCTTTCAAATCTTACTATTTTATGTTTTGGTAGCGATAAAAATTGATGTAAGTGGTTGTTGCTTAGCATTTGAGAAGCACCGGGATCGATACCCGACGCTTCCAAATCCTACTTTTTTATGTCTTGGTGATGATAAAAATTGTTGTGTGAATGATTGTTAAGTATAAAACCCGTAGAATCTTTGAATAAAATGTTGTCACTTGCCGGGGGCGTAGCTCAATTGGTAGAGCGCTCGCTTTGCATGTGAGAGGTACCGGAATCGATACCCGGCGCTTCCAAATCTTACTATTTTATATCTTGGTAACTTCCAAATCTTACTTTTTTATGTCTTTGTGATGAAAATGTGATTGTTAAGTATAAAACCCGTAGAATTTTTGAATAAAATGATATCACTTGCCGGGGGCGTAGCTCAGTTGGTAGAGCGCTCGCTTTGCATGTGAGAGGTACCGGGGTCGATACCCGACGCTTCCAAATCCTACTTTTTTATGTCTTGATGATGATAAAAATTGTTGTGAATGATTGTTAAGTATAAAACCCGTAGAGAATTGGTATAAAATAATGTCACTTGGCGAGGGCGTAGCTTAATTGGTAGAGCGCTCGCTTAGCATGTGAGAGATACCGGGATCGATATCCGGCGCTTTCAAATCTTACTATTTTATGTTTTCCTAGCGATAGAAATTGATGTGAGTGGTTGTTGCTTAGCATGTGAGAAGTACCGGGATCCATACCCGGCGCTTCCAAATCCTACTTTTTCATGTCTTGTGATGATATAAAAAATTATGTGATTGTTAAGTATAAAACCCGAATATGTGTGTCTGTTCTCCTAATAAAAATATTTTTAGTGTCAGAAAATACTTTATATATATGACAATAAAATGAGTTTAATATATATAAGTATGAACACACATCTATCGATAAAGAAATTAATATGAATATGAGTGTCTGTTCTCCTAATAAAATATTTTTTTGAAAAATTTTGCAAGTGTCAGAAAAATACTTTATATATATATATATCTATTATATATATATATATATATATATATTATAATGACAATAAAATGAGTTTAATATATATAGTATGAACACACATCTATCGATAAAGAAAGAAATTAATATGAATATGTGTGTCTGTTCTCCTAATAAAATATTTTTTGAAAATTTTGCAAGTGTCAGAAAATACTTTATATATATATGACAATAAAATGAGTTTAATATCTATAAGTATGAACACACATCTATCCATAAAGAAATTAATATGAATATGTGTGTCTGTTCTCCTAATAAAATATTTTTTAGTGTCAGAAAATACTTTATATATATATGACAATAAAATGAGTTTAATATATATAAGTATGAACACACATCTATCCATAAAGAAATTAATATGAATATGTGTGTCTGTTCTCCTGATAAAATATTTTTAGTGTCAGAAAATACTTTATATATATATGACAATAAAATGAGTTTAATATATATAAGTATGAACACACATCTATCGATAAAGAAATTAATATGAATATGAGTGTGTTCTCCTATAAAATATTTTTTGAAAATTTTGCAGTGTCAGAAAATACTTTATATATATATGACAATAAAATGAGTTTAATATCTATAAGTATGAACACACATCTATCCATAAAGAAATTAATATGAATATGTGTGTCTGTTCTCCTAATAAAATATTTTTTAGTGTCAGAAAATACTTTATATATATATGACAATAAAATGAGTTTAATATATATAAGTATGAACACACATCTATCGATAAAGAAATTAATATGAATATGAGTGTCTGTTTTCCTAATAAAATATTTTTTTGAAAATTTTGCAAGTGTCAGAAAATACTTTATATATATATGACAATAAAATGAGTTTAATATCTATAAGTATGAACACACATCTATCCATAAAGAAATTAATATGAATATGTGTGTCTGTTCTCCTAATAAAATATTTTTTAGTGTCAGAAAATACTTTATATATATATGACAATAAAATGAGTTTAATATATATAAGTATGAACACACATCTATCCATAAAGAAATTAATATGAATATGTGTGTCTGTTCTCCTGATAAAATATTTTTAGTGTCAGAAAATACTTTATATATATATGACAATAAAATGAGTTTAATATATATAAGTATGAACACACATCTATCGATAAAGAAATTAATATGAATATGAGTGTCTGTTCTCCTAAAAAAATATTTTTAGTGTCAGAAAATACTTTATATATATATATGACAATAAAATGAGTTTAATATCTATAAGTATGAACACACATCTATCGATAAAGAAATTAATATGAATATGTGTGTCTGTTCTCCTAATAAAATATTTTTTAGTGTCAGAAAATACTTTATATATATGACAATAAAATGAGTTTAATATATATAAGTATGAACACACATCTATCCATAAAGAAATTAATATGAATATGTGTGTCTGTTCTCCTGATAAAATATTTTTAGTGTCAGAAAATACTTTATATATATATGACAATAAAATGAGTTTAATATATATAAGTATGAACACACATCTATCGATAAAGAAATTAATATGAATATGAGTGTCTGTTTTCCTAATAAAATATTTTTTTGAAAATTTTGCAAGTGTCAGAAAATACTTTATATATATATGACAATAAAATGAGTTTAATATCTATAAGTATGAACACACATCTATCCATAAAGAAATTAATATGAATATGTGTGTCTGTTCTCCTAATAAAATATTTTTAGTGTCAGAAAATACTTTATATATATATGACAATAAAATGAGTTTAATATATATAAGTATGAACACACATCTATCCATAAAGAAATTAATATGAATATGTGTGTCTGTTCTCCTGATAAAATATTTTTTAGTGTCAGAAAATACTTTATATATATATGACAATAAAATGAGTTTAATATATATAAGTATGAACACACATCTATCGATAAAGAAATTAATATGAATATGAGTGTCTGTTCTACTAATAAAATATTTTTTTGAAAAATTTTGCAAGTGTCAGAAAATACTTTATATATATATGACAATAAAATGAGTTTAATATCTATAAGTATGAACACACATCTATCCATAAAGAAATTAATATGAATATGTGTGTCTGTTCTCCTAATAAAATATTTTTTAGTGTCAGAAAATACTTTATATATATATGACAATAAAATGTAAAATGAGTTAATATATATAAGTATGAACACACATCTATCCATAAAGAAATTAATATGAATATGTGTGTCTGTTCTCCTGATAAAATATTTTTTAGTGTCAGAAAATACTTTATATATATATGACAATAAAATGAGTTTAATATATATAAGTATGAACACACATCTATCGATAAAGAAATTAATATGAATATGAGTGTCTGTTCTCCTAATAAAATATATTTTGTGAAAAAATTTTGCAAGTGTCAGGAGAAAATTATTTATTTTTTGTTTTTTTACTTTTTAAATATATATATAGATATAAAATATATATATATATGACAATAAAATGAGTTTAATATATATAAGTATGAACACACATCTATCGATAAAGAAATTAATATGAATATGAGTGTCTGTCTCCTAATAAAATATTTTTTTGAAAATTTTGCAAGTGTCAGAAAATACTTTATATATATATGACAATAAAATGAGTTTAATATCTATAAGTATGAACACACATCTATCCATAAAGAAATTAATATGAATATGTGTGTCTGTTCTCCTAATAAAATATTTTTAGTGTCAGAAAATACTTTATATATATATGACAATAAAATGAGTTTAATATATATAAGTATGAACACACATCTATCCATAAAGAAATTAATATGAATATGTGTGTCTGTTCTCCTGATAAAATATTTTTTAGTGTCAGAAAATACTTTATATATATATGACAATAAAATGAGTTTAATATATATAAGTATGAACACACATCTATCGATAAAGAAATTAATATGAATATGAGTGTCTGTTCTACTAATAAAATATTTTTTGAAAAATTTTGCAAGTGTCAGAAAATAATATATATATATATATATATGACAATAAAATGAGTTTAATATATATAAGTATGAACACACATCTATCGATAAAGAAATTAATATGAATATGAGTGTCTGTTCTCCTAATAAAATATTTTTTTGAAAAATTTGCAAGTGTCATAGAATACTTTATATATATATGACAATAAAATGAGTTTAATATCTATAAGTATGAACACACATCTATCCATAAAGAAATTAATATGAATATGTGTGTCTGTTCTCCTAATAAAATATTTTTTAGTGTCAGAAAATACTTTATATATATATGACAATAAAATGAGTTTAATATATATAAGTATGAACACACATCTATCGATAAAGAAATTAATATGAATATGAGTGTCTGTTTCCTTAAAAATTTTTTGAAAATTTTGCAAGTGTCAGAAAATACTTTATATATATATGACAATAAAATGAGTTTAATATATATAAGTATGAACACACACTATCCATAAAGAAATTAATATGAATATGTGTGTCTGTTCTCCTAATAAAATATTTTTTAGTGTCAGAAAATACTTTATATATATATGACAATAAAATGAGTTTAATATATAAGTATGAACACACATCTATCCATAAAGAAATTAATATGAATATGTGTGTCTGTTCT